TGTTCAGATTGAAGATTATGGACGTGTTTTTGTGGAGTGTGATGTGGTAAAAGAAATATGTAGAAAATTTCTTAAGTGGCTTGACCTTCATTTTCCTTTGTTCACAAATGTCTCGGAGATCATGAAGTAGATTGATAGTATTTCGGTTTTGGGGTTGAAATGAAGGAAGATTGAAGTAACTGTTATCACAACCATTTATGTTTTGGCCGAATAGAAATAGAGAATTCTTCAAGACGAACAACACGAGGAAGAGTCATATTTTTGAAAGTATAGTTATTCATTCTTTTAATTGGTTTACTAGAAGAAATAGCAAAAATTGTATTACTTGGTCTAAGTGGTTGCAAAACCTTCTTCTTTATGAATCTTTGTCATTGGTTTTCCTCTCTAGTTCTTGTTAGTTCTTTTAATAATATGTGATTGTTCAAAAAAAATGTAAGAACAAAAGTTTACATTTTAATATATAAAATCTTTTATTATTTTTTGTTAAAATTTTAGAAAGAAAGTTAAATTAAAAATTAAATTTCACAACGATTTGAACCCGATACTACATTTTGGAAGGTAAACAACATTACTGATTTAACCACATTATTTTTTGTCTTAAATAAATATTGTTTTGAAATATCTTTTCTAGTAATATATTTCAGAAATTTTTTAAATAGTTTTAAAGTAAGCCGTCTAAGAACATCATCTCTAATGGCTACACTATGTTATGACTTAAAACAAGTTACACATCATCATTTATTTAATCTTGACATCTAAATAAATGAATGCTCCAATGGTTAAGGTTATTTACTTAGCTTTTTTCATAAATTTAACTAATTTACCCTCATCTTTCTAAAATGTTTTATAAAACTTCTTCCTTTAATTAGTCTATTTTTAAACACAAACACTATTTTAATATGACTATATAAATACAAATATATCGGTTCATTATTTATGTACGTAAAATACGAAAAAGTATAATGTTATAGTTACAAAAATAAAATAAAAACATTGAAAATATTATATTACCGTCATAAAAATTATATTTATAAATAAGATGTTATTAAATAGTTAATAGGAATAATTAGTTAGTAAAGAAATAAAAAATATTTAAAAATAAATTATAATTAAAGAGGTAAAATGAAATGTGGTTAAAATATAACGGTTAAATGTATAAGTTGTAAAATAAATTGATCACGAATGGTTAAAATAAAAGAACAAAAAAGATATCTACTCTAATGATAATAAGTTGTCAAGTAAAAAAAATACATAGTTATAAAAAAAAAGTTCATGTTGTATATACTCTAAATAATCATCCAGTTTAGAAACTAATATATATTTGACGAAAACCTTTAATCACAAAAGTTGTGAAAATGGATCCTTAGTAATTCATGTATAGCAAAAAATTATGATTTAACGATAAATTATGACAAACTGACCCTTTTTAATATATGATTTAACAAAAACTTCTATAAAAATTGATTAAAATAACTAATTTTAATAAATTAGAGCACAAAGGGAATCGAATTTCTAGTCTTTGAAAGAGATGCACTTCTACAATGTCATCTAAAACGTCTACAATATTAAATTTACATATAAAAGTATTTATACATTACGTAATAGAAATAAATTTGGGCGCCCCTGCTTTTTGCAAGGCTTGGGGCGATCACCCTGCTTGCCTACCCATTTGGCTGGACATGTACTTCACGAAACTCATCGGACGGTAACAGTCTCATAGATCATGCATGCAACTTTTTGAAACAATATCGACGAATCATGTCAAACGTTGAAAAGTTAAACTAAAACTACAGATGAATATAATAAGAACTAAAACTGTAATTTACTCTATTTATAAAAACAATAAAAATTAAAAAGGGTATAGACCGAAATTTATAAATAACAATAATAATAAGTTATAATTACAATACATAGTACATTTAAAATATCTTAGAAAGCCACTCGTTTCTTTTACGTCTAAAGCCAAAACCATATTTCATGCAACAGTCTAAAATTAACTACTATGATCATGTGCATATCAATCCATAGTCCCAAATTAACCCATAAACATATTACTCCATAGTGTCAACAAGCAACCACTTGTTCCATGAAATAAAAAAAGTAATTCACATTCCATGTGCAATGTATAAATATTACCTCATGGTATGTTTGGATGATGGTGTTCTTTCAATTATGAGAAAAAGAGCACAAGCAACAAGAGAAAAACAATAAAGCATATCAATACTACCTCTGGTAAATAATATTCGTATCACATTATCAAAAATCATTATTAAGTTTTCAATTAACGTAACATGGAATTAAATGATATCCACAATAATACACTTTATTGGTTTAGAGCTATTACAAAAGGCCATGTGGCACCATGCATCAATGTTTCTCATTTCCAAGACTCGAATCAATGGACCCAAGAATAAATATGGTGTACGAAATTGGGTTTGAGATCAGTGGACCCAAGAATAAACATGGTGTACAAAATTGGGTTTATGATCGTGCCTGAATCATTCCGTTTTAGTTCACATAAGCTAAATTGGACACGAGCATGGATAAGTCGTTGTAACCGGGCCCATAAAAACCGGCCATGGTTGGTTCACCGAGATAAATCAAATTCAAAACTTACCACTCATAAAAGTTTGGGCTGTTAATAAATCTCATATCATTGCATTCAAAATCAAGAATTGTGGCTGTTAATCTTTCCACCATGCAAGCATGCCCAATTTGTCATAAGGCATGTTTGGATTTATTGGGGGAGCATGTTGTATATTATAGAGAGCTCCCAGGTTTTAAGTACTGGATGATATGGTTATAAATGTTCTCTTTGATGTATTTAACAAGTTGATGTTTCGTTAAAAAAGAAACGTCAGAACTTTTTGACTTTTTGACTAACCTATTGAAAGGAAAATCAACAATTTAACCGGCTGACAATATAATTTTTGGATGGGTTGGAGAAAAACACACATATTTGGATCTTAAATAGATTACCCTTCTTGTAGATTTGAGGAAGGCGAGGCTATTGCAAGTGAAGGTAGGTCACTTGACCCACCTAAAAAAATATTTGTGTTACAAGTAATTAATAAAAAATTTTGTTACCTACCTTAAAATTTATGGATGACCTACCTTAATTTATTTGGCATGGACTATTAGCCCATCTTTTGTATTTCAATGGTACAATTTTTAGTTTATTTCAAATATTGTCCACCATGAATTAACCCAATACCTTTTAAAATTAAAAAAAGAAAAAAGATACAAATTTGATGTGAATTGCTCGTTTGTTTCTAGCAAATTCGCATGACGCAATCAAGCAAATCACAAGGAACAACCAAAGACTGAAGTCACTCCTATCGATCACTCGATTGGGTCGTCTGTTCTCCTCACTCCAGCCACCGGCAGCCTCACATTCACATCAGTTTCGACCCGCAATCCATTGCTTTCTTCTTCACATAAGGTTTTAACTTCGAAGATTCTCAATTGTGAACTTGTGATTGATAATGATTGCCTTCTACGGTTTACCATTCTTCTAATCTTCTTCATACTTATGAACAGATATAATGAAATCAGAAGTCCAAGACATAATCAATTTAATGTTTAATCTCTAATCTTGGCGCCAACAATAGGCTTTGTGTGGTAGGTTTCATCACTTCTTGTGGTATGTTTTAATATGGATTGTCTTTGATTCAATTAATATAATTTCATTTGATTGTTTTTATTTCTCAAATTAATTTAGTGTCATATATTGAAAAAAGTGTTTTAGATAGTATTAGTATGATACGATTGTGGATATATATCAAGATATTAGACCTCTTAGGGTACAATTGTAACAACTTTAATTTTTTTTTCTTATATGACTCGACCCCAGGGCCGGTCCAAAGATATAGTGGGTCCAGAGCGAAAAGAGAAAAATGGGCCCCCAAAGTCATATATATAGTAAAAATTAAATAGAAAATAGAGACATTGTTATAAAATTCACTATTAATATTAAAAAATACAAATATGTCAAAACATTACAAAAAAAACTAATTTAAAGAAAAATATTTCTCATAACATTTTTAGATGAGTTAGTTTTTTCTCTATATAATTATACTATATATACTCTAGAAATTTTGGGCCATTTAAAGGCATGGGCCTTGGGCGACCGCCCGGGTTGCCCACCGTCAGGATCGGGCCTGCTCGACCCATTACTAGTATTTTTTTAGTTATTTCATTTCTATCGGGTTCACCTAAATAGTGATCTACGTAGATTTCTATTCTAAACTCGTCACTGAGAGTGAAGGTTTCACTATGGGACATGATGTTTTAAAAGTGTCATCATACAAGGTCACAAAACATGTATGAAAAATCAACATATATTTATACAATTCACCTTTGATACTTTCAGTATATTTGCACCAGAGGCTATAGAACTTCTCAATAGTCCAATAAATCATGCATAATACTATTATGACCCAGCAGATATAGTTTTTCAAATGAATTTTTTGTCTTCCAGAAAGGATACTGACAAACTTCTTGTCCGTTTTTTGTTTCTCCCCTACCCGTCCACAAAATGTCATTTAGATTACTACTAGGGGACCCCGTGCTTTGTTAAAACTGTTTATTTGAATATTCCAAAATCTTACTAAAATGATTTATTTGGCTTTGAGCAATATTGATCTTTTTTTCCGTAAGAATTAAGTCATATAACCTATTTCGGTTATTAAAAGTTAAAACGTAGACGTCGGCAACATTTATATTGGACTCAAAATAAGTGTTCAAAGTTAAAAAGAAACAGCTATAAATCAACTGTCCAAATTAACATATTGAACCCTAATTCAGGTCAGAATTTTCAACTTTAATTCCAACCAATTTAATTAAACTCGCTCATCATGTTTGACCGGATTAATTAAACAAATTGAAAATCTTATTTACTGCAATATGAACCTCATACTTCTCATACTGATAAAGCAACAAGCACTACAAAGAGATAATTGGTTTTCTTATAAGCTTCAAACTACAAAATATAAAATTTTGTAACATACAATAGTTGACCTTCAAATGTCAAAATCTGACTTTTTCAAATGGACTATTTTCTATATAAGTACTTTGCGAGTGGAAACTTGAGGCTCTTTGCTACCTGCACAACAAAGAGAAAACTAAGACACCCACAAAAAAAGAAACAATTTTTATAAAAAGAATCATAACAATGATAGTTTAAAAATGTTACTTTTAAGGCCAAATCCTCGCTAATTGTTGACCTGTATCGAGTTGACCCTTCCAATGGACAGCTTCCACCTTTGCTTATAAAATTAGCACTGCAAAGACTTGATACTTGTAAAAGTATGTCAGACATAAGACTCTTATCTTCTTCTTCTTCTTCTTCCTCATCTTCTTCTTCAAGTGGATACTCTGAACCTGATGTGATACACTGAAAAATAGCTAACAATCTCTCCAATGGAAATGTTCCAGGGCCTTTCATGAACTGTTCTTCCTCCAAAGCTTCCTTCAATTCCTTTGATTTTTCTGAGCTCCTGTAAATGAAAAGGGTTATTAAGGATTTAGATGTTTGGTATGATGGAATGGAATTAGAAAGGAATAGAGTGAGAAATGTGAAGGAATGGATCATTACATTTTATTGTCACGTTTGGTTGGATGAAAGAAATGGAATGAGTCATTCAGCATGTTGTTTGTTTTTGTTATGTAGAATTGAAAACTAAATGAAATTTAACTGATAAATAAAGAAAAAAAAAACTGTTTTATATAAATAAAGTTTAATCCAGCAAAAAGATATATCGCTTATTAGATTGCATATAAATATATTTCATGTCGTCCAATTTATATCTATATATGTTTCAGATAGTCAAAATTTTCATATGATGGAAAAGAATCACAAAGGAAAGGAATGAGCAATGTAATAAGTCATTCAACAATCAACATGTTGTTTTGTTATTTATGATTAAAAATATAAATGAAGGTAAACTGATAAATAATGAAAAAATATGATTGTATAGAAATAAGCTTTAATCAAATAAAAATATGTGATTAATAAATTGTATATATAACTGTGATGTCATGTGAAAGATATACTACATTGGTGTAAAAAAAATATACTACATGTGTTTCAGATAGTTAAAAAAATAGTTTATATATAACTTCAAAAATTATTTACAATAATAAAAAATTAGATACCATGAAGCTTTAGAATAGAATTATAATCAATAAAAATGTTTTTAGTTATTTTTTGAAAATAACATAAAAATAATAATAATTGAAGATTATATAAGTAAAAGAAGTTTATAATTATAATATATCATTCCATTCCAACAATAAATTAGCAAAAAGAAACACCCCTCCCCGATGGAATGCTCTATTCAATTCCTATGTGGCAACCAAAACATGATTTTTTTTTTCATTATGCCATAATGCTGTAGTCCATTAGGACACTTATCTTATGAAGGGAGATAAAAGTGGAAACAGAGATACAATGAGTTACAATATCACACTATTTAACACCAAAATAATTATCAAACCACTTACTTTCTCTTCTTTTTTTGATTAGCAGGACCTCCAGTCGAATCAAAGAATGATGCATCAAGAGTAGCAGGATTTCTGGAAGCAAGAAATGCAGAAATAACAAGATACTTTGCGGAAGTAGACATATGAAACTCTATCTCATCAATGGAATCAGAAGCTCCAGATTTCTTCTTTTTCATGTTGACCTGAGATGACATGGTTGTGACTCTTAATATCTCATTGATAGCAGGAGCAATATGAGGTTGAAGACAATTCAACAACTTTCTCTTGTTTTCTCCAACAGGATTAACCTCCAAGTCATCTAAAGGCTCACAGAATTTCTTAAATAACGGTGATAAACCAGCCGATAACTCATCAAGCTTTCTAGTTACTCGACAGAAAGGCTTCAACACCAAACTGTTGAACAAGAAAAAAGGCAAACAGAATTATATGTAGGTGTCATAAAAGACTGAGTATATAAAAGGAACAGAAACTCATATAAGAAACTAAGCAACTTACTCAAGAAAAGCTGAGTAGAGTTTTGGGTTTGGCTGGTTTCTCATCAAGATTTGTCTAAGAGCGTCTTCTGTATAATCAGGGAATTAAACAGGTATAGGATCAACAAAACCTGTATCTGAATAGAAGGTATCGAGTGAAGAGCTACTGACAAAAATCAAACCAACATCAGGAACCTTCAAAATATCATGAAGCTTGAACAAAAATGGTAATATGGTAGAACTTTTGTCCCAGTCTCTGACAAGCTCTAAACTATCGAAAATCAAGTAAACCATACTTCCATTGAAGGATCCTCCCGAAGATTTCCCCGAATTACCTTTCAGACTATCTACAACACCCACCAATGCTTCCTTCAAGAGATTAACAAAATCAGCTTGCTTTTCACACTTCTTGGCACTCGAATAGCCATTAATTTCGCTTTTCCTATGGAGCAATAGCTGGTTCAGAATATTTTCAAACAGTTGGCGGGCATTGTAACAGGTCCTACAGCTTGAGTAGACAAATGGCCGGTTTAAGTGACGGAAAACCTGGAGAATCGTACTTGTTTTGCCAGTCGATGCGCCGCCGTAAACAAATATCGGAGATACAGGAGAATCCACCGGACCCAAAAGGCGTACAAGTTCAAAGATTTGGTTTCGTCTTCCGGGTAGACTAGAAATCAAATCATCATAAGTTAGGGGTTCTTCTTCTCCAAACACGAGATCACGAAGCGTAAGGGGTTGAAGTTTGATGGTTGTTGTAGCGCTTTCGATCGCATTTGGGGTGTAAGATGATAATCTCGTTTTTCTTTTTGTAACCTGCGGACTGTCTACTTTGTTCATTCTGAATTCTTCAAAGAAACACGCACAAAGCTTGAATCAAGTGGATATGCGGTCAATTAAGCAAAAATAATAAGGCTGATTGGCTCGATCGTTTGGTTTGGAAAGAAACCCTAATTATGATGAATGGGGATGAGCATTTTCCCGCCAACGAGACGGGATGAAATCTCTAAACTGGTTCGGGTCTTGATCACGTGGTAAAACACTTGGACCGATGTCATCGGACTTACATAAACCGGTTACCGGTCACAGACCGGCCCTAATGCTTGAAAGAAAGTGAACCATTCGGAGGGAGGCCCAGATTTATTAATTTATTTTATTTTTTGAAATAATAGTAAATATAATATATTTTTCGATTTCTATATATTTGGTCACCTAGTTTTTTTTCATCCATATTTACTTCTTTAACTTGTTAAACTGTACCATTCAGTCTTTATGATCGATTACTTCAGGTTAGCCGGGAAAAATGACTTAATAGGATAATATATTTTTCATTTTGTACACATTTAATCCTTAATATTTTTGTACATATTTAGTCCTTAACATTTTTTTGTTTCAAATAAGTCCTTTTTTATACTCATTCAGTACTTATGAATGATTTCTTTAGGTTTTTCTCACGACATCTTACGTGGGACATCATTGATGAGTTGTTTGGGGTTGTTGATGTTTATGTCCAACATGATATCGACTGCTTGGTTGCGTAGGTCTTGTGGTTTGGCTTAGGTATTGTATTCTGAACGCTGTAACTTCTTCATACGATATCAGATTTTAACGATCTTTATATCCACGTGTTCATTTTTTCATTAAGATTACTCCCGTTAAAATGTAATATATTTTTACTTACGGTTTTATAAAAAAAAACATTCATACATGCATTCATAAAAAACGTATGGACAGGGGCAGACCGGAATACATAGTGGTAGGTGTTGCCGAGATGAAATATGTGTTGCTTATACATGAAAAATAGTTATAAACGAAAAAAAATCGAAAATTTTTCCACTGCGGACAGAAAAACAGGTGTTACCGGTGGAACACTGGGACCAGGTTAAATCTGCCTTTGCATATGGATATAAAAATCGTAAGTAAAAATATATTATTTTTTTAATTGGAGTAATCCAAATAAAAGTTGTAGTAGACTAAAATACGAACGTATGGATATATAAAGATCGTTAAAATTTGAGATCGTGTGAAGAAGTTATGACGTTCAGAACACAATGACATAAGCACCAAGTAGTCGAGAGTCGCGATGGACATAAACATCAAAAGGCCCAAACACTTCATTAATAAATTTCCCACGTACGATTTCGTGAGAAAAAACTAAAGAAATCATTCATAAGTATTTAATGAGTACAAAAACAAAAATGACTTATTTTGCAATAATATATATAATATATATATAATATATATATATATATAGATATTATATAATATAAGGACTAAATGTGTACAAAGTGAGATATAATTACCTATAAGTCATTTTTCCGGCTAACCTGGAGTAGCCGTCATAAGGACTGGATGTGTACAGTTTAACAAGTTGAAGGGTAAATGTGGAGACGAAAAAACTCAGTGACTAAATGTGTACAAATCGAAAAATACATTACCCTTTTAAGTCATTATCCCTAAGATTTATAACAAAGTTAGGGAAGTTTGAAAGAAAGTGAACCATTAGGAGGGAGGCCTAAATAAGTATGTGATTTTTGCTAAAGTTTTTGAACGAACATATCGAACGAAAAAATATATATATATTAACCTTTTAACCGACGACCAATTATATCTAAATCATAATTTATGAAAAATTACAAACATGTCGTGTTAAGAATATAACATTTTTTATAATCAAACTTAACATTATTTGTTATTGGGTATATTGTGTTACTTCCTATAAACTGTTGGGTTAGTTTTGTCATTAGTACTGCAGGTTGTAGTTGGTGCGCGGGTATGTGGATTTAACTATGTATTGTTTATTTTGAGGGTTTGCAACTCATTCGTTCATTCATCATCTCATATACTTGTAGATATCCTTCTCTCATTCTTCGCAGATTACGGTTTCCTCTTAGATTAGGGTTTGTATTGTTCATTGTATAAACTATCTTCTGTTTGAGAGAGTAAGTGTATTTTGTAGTGAGGTTTTCTTTGTAACTGTTTGGTGCATAAACAATTGGTTGATAGTGAATAAATTGATCATGTTGAGAAATCCTTGAGTTTCTAGTTTCTTTATATGGTATTAGAGCTATAGGTGCTTTGATTGTTAATCTACGACGATTTCGTAACAAGGTTAGCGTTTGTAGCTCCTTTCTGTTTCCGCTTTCATTTTTTGTTTTGTTTACTGTAAACCCTGTAGATTTGACACCAATTATGTCAAATCTAGGGTTTTGGTGTTGGTTCTTGTTGATTGACACTTATTGTGTTAGTATGATATTGTGGACTTGATCTTCCATCTGATTGGTCTTGTTTGTTATTAATTTCTACGTTACTGCGAGTTTATGTTTGTCTTGCAGAACCGTTGGGGAACTTCTAAGATCCCAAGGGATTTGTATTCGGTCGGTCTATTTCACTTGAATTAAACGTAACCATTGTATTACTCCTAAAATCTGCTCAATCTCCTATAAGGAGTTTGATTAACTCTATTTAGAGAACATATTTCGGTTCCGATTAACTCATTTTGTGAGAACGAATCTCAAATCTTAAATAAATCTATTAAGGAATGAACCTGTAACATCCCAAAAATACCAGCTAAAAATTTCATTTTTAAATTAGGTTAATTCATAAAAACATCGTTACAAAACATTCATAATATTAATTTATGTCTGAGAACCGGTAACATCATAGTAAAATATTCAGAGTACATCCCAGAAAATCCATAGTGCGGAAAACATGAGAGTGTGTGATATGCCGCTACCGCGCCGACTCCTGTCCCCTAGCTGAAGAGGTACCTGAAAACAAAACTATAAAACGTAAGCACGAAGCTTAGTGAGTTCCCCCATAATGCCACATACCATGCAATCATATAATGAACAGCTAAGAGATACGGGCCTCGCCCACACCCATAGAGATACGGGCCTCGCCCACACCCTACTAGCTAGGAGATACGGGCCTCGCCCACACTCTACTTTCTGAGAGATACGGGCCTCGCCCACACTCCGCCACTAAACCATAACATACAAGTATCACACAGACAACAAGTATAAGCAATTCTATCATACTGGCATATATCACAATCAAACTCAGCTATGAGATACGGGCTCCGCCCACACTCCGATACTAACATATCGTCTATACGGGCCGGCCTTGGTGCCTTAGACCCGTCCCTACTGGAAGGAAACTCACCTCGAGAGTAGCTGCCGAAAACCTGCTCAGACTACGCCTGGCTGCCGCACCGGTAATCCCTCCGGCTATAAATCCGTAAACATGGATTAGGTACTCATAAATACCCCTAAGGTCAAATGACGGTCAAAGTCAACTCCTTGGTCAAAGTCAACCTTCTGATTGACTGGACTCGCCGAGTCCATATGGCGACTCGCCGAGTCCTTCTATGTCTAGCCCGACTCTGACTCATCGGGTCCCTGTTCCCACTCACTGAGTCAGCCTGACTCGCTAGACGGGGACAACTAACAAACCCGCGACTGGACTCGCCGAGTCCAAGGGGGTGACTCGCCGAGTCCGACGAACAGATCTCACAAATCGCTCCAATCTTCCATCAGAACATCAACCTTGGAGATTTGGAGATTCTGGGACTATAGCTACACGTTAAATTGCTAATTCCACGTGCGACTACGGAGGGTTGGACCTCCTACACTTAAACCCTTCTTATCCTAGTGACTGATCATATGACTCGCCGAGTTGGAAGAACAACTCGTCGAGTTCAAGGCTATATTCAAGGGACTCGCCGAGTTTGAAGAACGACTCGCCGAGTACCAGGCAATCTTCATAGGACTCGCCGAGTTGTTTATCCAACTCGCCGAGTCTAAGGCCATCTTCATGGAACTCGCCGAGTGCACTTTGGCACTCGCCGAGTACCCTTCGACTCTTCACCCATTCTGGCCAAAACTGAGACATGCAATGGTTCCAAACCATAAATCTAAGCTCCTAGGGTATAAACACACGGAGTTTGGGAGGTTTAAGGTCTTGAAATCCACATATAAGGGACAAAAAGGGAATCTATTATACTAAAGATTAAGAAGGAGCTTTCTTACCTGGTTAGGAGCTTCTCCCAGGGTAGATTTCGGATCTACCACACTTCCTTGCACCCTCCAACTTCCTCCTTCTTCTCTAAGCTTCAAACTTCCTTCACCAAGCCAAAATCACTCACAAGGATCAAAATGGGCTAGGGTTTCGCTCTACAGTTCTTCTGGAAGAGAATGGGACGAAATGGGTGTTTTAGAATGGGTAAAATAGGGTGCAATGTCTGAAAATAGAGTTTCATCCAGACAGGTGGACTCGCCGAGTCCATGCATCGACTCGCCGAGTTCACCGCTCAAATCCCGTGTCCACCCTGCTGCTACTCGGCGAGTCGGGACGCAGACTCGCCGAGTTCGTGGCAAAATTAAGAATAAAAACTTAAATAAAATCATACCATGAACCCGGTGTTACAAATCTCCCCCACTTATTTTAGACTTCGTCCTCGAAGTCTGCCGCTCCCTTCCGGAACAGCTCCGGATAATGCTCCATCATCTCATCCGCGGGCTCCCAAGTCCATTCCGAGCCCTTCCGATGCTGCCATTGCACCTTCACCAGCTCCACCCTTTTGTTCCTCAGTTCCTTCGACTTCCGGTCTAGGATAGCCACAGGCCGCTCGATATAATTCAGGCTGTCATCAACCTGGATGTCCTCCAAAGGTACCACTGCTGAATCGTCCACCATGCACTTCCGCAGCTGGGAGACGTGGAAAGTGCTGTGGATCTGACTGAGTTCGGCTGGCAGGTCCAGCTGATATGCCACCTTGCCCACTCGGGCTGCAACCCTAAACGGTCCAATATACCTGGGACCCAACTTGCCCCGTTTCC